AAAGTACTTTAAACTGTATAAATAATGTAAAATTAAATAGACTTAAAACAGCCAATCATACGAAAGTCTTCCTATGGGTTCAACTAAAAATGGCTATTGTCACCGTTACTGATTTTCATTCAATAGATTTAAGATACGTAAGTATTTTGTTTGCTAAGTGAATCTTAGGTTTTCATCATTGGCGAAGTTTTAATAAGAAAAAAAGTCAAACCAACTAACCAGAAGATTTTAGTGTTGCTTTCTCGTCTTGCAACTAGTTTGAACTGTCTTATTATTATTATGTAGCCATTCATTAAAATACTAATGTCCATCACGCTATTAGCCAATTTCAACAGCGGGTGGGAGAGTAATTTCAACAGTAAGTGGAGTAGTGATGTCAATAGTGAACAAGTTAATAATTTCACCATTGGTAGGTTCGCGATTTCAACACAGTTTATTCTGGCAGTTGGTGGTTTATGATTTTAATAGTAGCTGGGTTAATGATTTTAACATTTGTGGTTCACAATTTTTAGCAAGTGATTTTATAACCTTAGTGGTAGGCAGACTATGACTCTAAATTTAAAGAGGATAAAATGAAAATACAAATCAATTCAACCATTATTAATATATAAGATAAAAAATGCAATTCGCTACTTTGCCTTTATTCTCCATTATAATCATATTGTATCTTAATTATAATAAAGAATTTATATTTCTGTGTCTTGATGACCAAATTACGATTATAAAAACATGGTAATGCCCTTACAGTTCTTTGAAATAATCAATATATTTATCAAATTACAATGGATTTAAATAGAATAAAAATACAACTTCATTATACATTAAATAGAATTAATAGGTTAAATATGCAATCGATAGGAATGTTAAACAGTTTAATTCTGTTACATAATCATTATTTACTCCTTCAATTACAGACTTTTAGTCTAAATTCTACTTTTTTGATCTGAAACACAGTATGATTTCTAAAATTTAAATATTCAATAGTATTAATTACAAATGTAAGTCCATAGAGAAACATTGGTCGACTTAATAGACAATACACTTACTCATCTTAGAGTTCCCAATCTGCGCTGAAAATTCACGTATGTATATAATCTTAAACATTTGAGTTATCAATAGTAAAGCGTAAAAGAAGACTGCATATGCAGTAAAAATAATGATAATAACGATAATAGCAATAATAATAATGATAATAACGATAATAATGATAATAATGCTAATAATGATAATAACGCTAATAACGATAATAACGCTAATAATGATAATAATGATAATAACGATAATAACGATAATAACGAGAATCTTCAACCTAGTAACATCAAATTTTTTCTATTAGTTAAACTCGAAAATTGTTGAAATATTGTAAATAAAACCAGAATAAAATCTTACCAAATAAAAAAAAAATTTAAAGTCTCCATATTCGAGATTCTTCAGATTTAATAATAGAAGATTTTAATAAAAAAGAAAAAGAATAACGAACAAGCTTACTTTTAAACTGAGAATCACACGCCTAATTAAGCATTTATTTGTTTTTTTTTTGCGACCACAGATAAGAATTGCTTAATAATTAATAAAATATAGTTTATCACAATCAAATATTGGTGCTGCAAAAGAGTGTATATGGTAGAATACGAAACGTGTGAAAATTAAGATAGTACATAAGGTTTGTAAGGCAGCTGTTTATTAAGTAAATATAACTGACAATTAATATTAAAAAACATTATGTTTATTGAAAGAATAATATTGTTACCTGAATAAAATAACGTAGTAGTAAATTCAATAAACTGGCTTTTATAAATGTTATTATGTTTGCTAATATAAGTCTTTAATATGTCTTCTGATTTGACGAAATCTGATAAAATATTTTCATTATTCTACCATTCTTCAAGGGTTTCACAGATTCTTATAGCTAATTTGCCCGTTTCCTCATTAGACTCACGTAACATTGTGTAGTGTTCTTAAATAACTGTTATTCACAAATCATTATTATATATTTCTATTTGAAGTCATATTCCAATTCTTGATTGTAGGTTACGGATTTTCTATATAGAATTTCCTATATAATTATGCCGAATGAGTAGATATCTGACACTGTTGTATATTGATCATTGTCTAAAGTTTCGGAGGCTATATACAGTAAATTCTATAAAGTCAATGACATTATGTCTTTAATGTTATGCTTGTTGATATTGAAAGTTCCAGATTAGTGATATAAGTTATGCAAATTATTTTAAAATATATTATCGCTATGCAATTCTCGATGAATAAGTTCTTGAGAATGGATTATTTGAAAATCAGGTGCAATATAATAAAGTTAATTGATTTTTCTATTCCATTTGTGCTAAGAATGAAATTTGCTATGCAAAGATCTCTTAGTTGCATATTGCATAACAAGTATAACAATGTCTAGAAATATTATTTCTTGATATTTGAATATCACGATATGCTTCTAACTTAGCATTAGAAAAGAAATACGAATTAATTTTTTTAAAAATTTTAAATATAATAGCACATAATAAAATTACCTCTTATGTTATTTTTCTGAATTATGAAGCAATTTAATTGCAACAAGTTTGTCTAAGACTTTGTGTTCCCATATAGCATAGTGTACGTCACTTCTATATGGTTTCAATATTTTTACATTCGTTATAAGGAATCCAAGACAATGGATATTTGCTTTTGATTAAAATCCATATATTTGTCTTTGTGTTGCCAAAAAGTTAAATTGTTATCACTAGACTAACTTATTTAATAATAAATACAATATTCATTTTCATTCTATAAGTAATTTATTTTAATTACAATTGTTAAAAGAAATATATAAATTATAAAGATAATATTATATAAAATAACTTACATTTAACACCATTGGCCTTTAGTAAGTCTCTTGTTACTCCAATTCTGTTTTTATAAAAAATTCAACACGATTTATTGCAACAACTTCCCCATCTTTACAATAAATGAATGGTCTTTATTAACTTCAATAGAAGATTATTTCATTTTTTAATAATGTGTCGAACATGCACATTAGTAGAATACTTCGAGTGGATAAAGCTCCATTAAAAAACCTGTCGTAACCCACATAGGAACGCATGACATAATCTAGAAAACTCGAGCAAAATTGGGAACTCTAATATCCCATCCATACTCTGATAATAGTTAGGCTAAAATTTTAGAATAGACTTCTCCAAGTAACAACATAAGCAAAAATGCTAAGCAGAAAATTGAGACATGCCAGAGAACAAAATCGATAAAAATAAAAGTTATAAAAATCATAACAAAATAGCTGAAGCAATTTAAAATAGAACCATAACAACTTTAGTTCTACGTTACAAATCAAATCCAGATGCACAAATAGTTTGATCTTACTGATGCAGAAATAAATCACTTCTATTTATCTGAATATCCATGCTTATCTAATAATTAGCTATTTTGCATGTTACCTATCTGCGAAAAAAGCACATATTTGATTCACAAATTTATAAGCTCTCTAACCGGCAATGTTTTGACTATCCCAACCTTAGTTGGAATTTTTAAATCTATAGTGATTTCATCACATTTTCTAATAGCATTTTTAGTATCTTTTTTGTTTTTTTGCGCAATAAGAACATTTCTAACTGCTTGATATACAAAAATGCTGAACTTGTTATACATTTCTGGTTCATTCTTTAGTGCTGGTAAATCAGTGGCTTTCAAATGCAGTTGAAGTACTAATCTCCATACATCTTCAGTTACAAAATCTGACAATTCATCAATTGATGGTATTTCTTCCCTAAAAATTAATTCCGTATTTGCCCAGGGCATTATTTAGGGTATGCAATTTGAAGAGAACTAATAATTAATTTAGCCAAATATAAACCATAATTTATTTTTAAAAGACCTTTAGCTGAATTAATCATTAGTTCTATACAAATTGTTCTCCTATATAACGCCCCGGGACATTATTTTTGGTAAATATGGTAACATTATCTTTTAAATTTTCTATTTAGATTTCAAATAATATAAATAACCACTACTAAATACTTACAGTTCATCTGTTCCCGAAAAGTCGTCAGCAAGGCTTGAAATTGCGACATGGAACTTGTTGCGATAATTGTTGAACTAATTTCCCATATCTTTAACCAAAGTCCCAAGGCGATAATCACTTTTTCTAATTTTACAAACTTTAATTATCAGTTCTTCATAAAGTTCTGTAGTATTATTTCGCGTTCTAAGGAAGAGTGCTTTGCTCTCTTCCTGTAAATGAAATTTCATGTGCTAGATTGAAAATACTATAAGTTTACATGTATAGTAATTATTGACATATATGAAGATATTACCTTATTAATTTCTGGACGGTTCAATATAGTATTGCACGAATTAGTAGTATTTGAGGATACTTTATTGTCTGTTATCTTAGCTTTCATCACACCATATATAGTATTGGCTAAACTTAAAACATTAGGATGATGAGCTACCCATAAAGCTACTTCAAACTCATTTGATGCATTTTGAAGTTCTGTAAATGCATCACATCTTTCGAAATCATCTTCACTATCTATTAGAATATTACAAAGTTATCCAGATGTAGCTTTAGATTATATTACATTAAAACAAATAATTCTTACCCTTATGTGATGTTGCTGTCGAAGTTACCATTTCTGCACTTGAACTTGATGCTGCTGTATATAATATGTTTCTTGTTGGATTCTCGTTCGTAGAGTTTGAAAGTGAAGCTAGCACTGTTGCAGTACCCTGGCCTCTAGATGTCGAAGATGTTGCAATATGTGAAGTCTTCTTGGCTGACTCATTGCCATAATCAGAATAATGAACTAAACAATAAATAAAATATTATAATTTCATTTAATATATTCTAATTTGATCCATAAACAATCACTGTCGTATTACCCTCACCTGTAGATGTTGAAGACGTTGCAGTACGTGAAGTCTTCTTGGTTGTTGACTCATTAAAGTAATCAGGATCATGAACTAAGCAACAAATAAAATTTTATAAGTTCATTTAATATATTCTAATTTGACTCGTAAACAATTACTGTCGTATTATCCTTGCCTGTAGATGTTGAAGGCATTGCAGTATGTGAAGTCTTCTGGGTTGTTGACTCATTAAGGTCATCAGAATCATGAACTAAACAATAAATAAAATATTATAAGTTCATTTAATATATTTAAATTTGACCCGCATACGATCTTTTTAATGTAAAAAAATAGTACCATCGACAGAATAATTTAAACCATCTAAATTTAAATATAAACCATTAGATAGATTATATTTTAAATCACTCACATAATGCATACCTGAAGTTATTTTATGACTAAAATCATCCTCTAAATTATCCTCTTCATCGCTAATAATTTCCTCAATTTGTTGCTCAATTCTTTGATCTCCTCCGTTATCTGCTAATTTCTGCTTTTTCGAAGACGAAGCTGATGCCCTGGAAACAAAAATCTAGATATGCATTATTTGCCCTGAGATATAAAGAAAGAATTATAAATCAGTAAATACATATTTATTGTTACTAACGCTTTTATGCTCGCTTGCAATAATATGAATTAATAAGTGTATGAAATTAACAAATAAATAACATACTAATGGAATTGGTGTCTGAATTCTAACAGGAGTTATTTTTCTATTCGATACCTGTGCGGTGTGAACTTTCTTTTTCGTATAATCTATAAAAATTTTTGTTATATTTAGTAAAGATCTTTTTAAGAAAATTTTAAAATATTATTTATCTACTCACTTGTGGATTTTTTTTTAGGAGCCATAGGAAAATAGTAAAATTCAGTGACAAAGAAGCTTCTTATAAAAGCACATATATACCTATTTGATATTACACATCACTTTTCAAACTATTATTACGTGTAAACTTTCTTCCAAAGTATGGGTAATCTTATTTACGTGTCATTTACATTCGATTATATGTTGTGCGTCAAATTGACATCTGTCTTAGACTAAAACAATTATAATCCCGCTAATACCTATCCATACTTTAACATGAGCACATGAGAATTTTGTGATTCTGAGAAATTTACATTTATGAAAGATCTTAGTAAATCACAAGATCCTGTTTTAATACTGAACTAAACTTTAATCTAATGCAAATTATTTCAAATAAGCTTTCACGAAACAACTTTAAAATATAAATCTTTATTTAGTCTGCCCCATGAAATGATCGAATAGAACTACCAATCCTCGCTGTACTGATGTGCCTATGTTACGCAAAAGACGACATAAAAAAGAATTGTTTGATGTTGAAATGGTTCAAGAAATGTTACAAAAAATAAGCATAATAGATTTTGTTGATGTGAATATTCCAAAGAATGCGTTATCTACTAAGGAACATGATTTAATTTTAACTAATGAAGAAACCAATGAAGCTGAAGAAATTGAAATTGATGAAATGGGTGAAGAGATGGGCAGAGCCGATGAAGCTTATGAAGAAGCCGATAAAGAAACAGAATTTAATGAAGCTGAAACACTGATGGACGATGTTACTATTGACAGTTGTTTGTGTTTATTTATAAACTTTTTAATAAATAATGTTAATGCTTTTTTTTCTTTTTTATACAAGGAATTAAATATACATTTTACAGATACTACGTACAATGTGCCGCTAATTGACGTTATAGAGGAAGACCTATTAAGCAATGAAATTTTAGAGGAAATATCCTCAGAATTTAGAGGTTTTAGTGAAGAGTATGGTCCATACTTTTCAAATTTTACGACTTCCATGTTATATATTTGGATTACAAAGCATATAATTTGTAAGTATAGTTTAAAAAAGGAAAATTTTAATAATAGAACTATGCATAACGGGTTCCAATCTGGGTTGGTGTTTCACTAGGATATATATAACTTTTAAAAGACAAAGATAGGGAAATTTCGGTCTGGATTGGAATCCAAGATAAATTTATGCATATTAACAAATAAGGCATCGCTTATGAGGACCTTGTCGAAATTCTTACCCATGTTAATTTTCTCAAAAAAGATGTTGTCAAAAATATTAGACGTATGCGCAAGTGGCGGTATAGATTACCTTTACTTACAGTACGTCAGCATGATGTGCCTATTTGTCAAGAAAAAGCACCATTAATGCTCATGTCTACCAAAAAGGCATATACAATATCCCCTCTGGCACACTTGGAAAGTGTACTAAATAATCCGACAATAATGCCCAAGTTATATTTTGGACCAGGTGTTGTCAGAGAGGAAAAAAGTGAATTTTGGCATGGAAGTTGTTGGCAAGATTCACCACTTTTTGGAGAGCATGAGATTAGATGCAATAAAGGAGGTTTGAAAGTTTTTAAGGCTAAATTTATCATCCTAATTTTATCAATATATATAGTAGATTTTATTTTAGGTTTTAATCTCTTATTTTACATTAATTAGTAATATACAAGGCAGGTGATTTTGTTTTATACCAAAAATTGTCCAAATTTATATGTCGCATACGTAGTGTTGTAACCAATGAAATCAATAAAACTTGTAAAGTAAAAGTCGATTGGCTCCTTCAACACCAAAATCTTCCCAATTGCCGATTTGACAGTGATCGACATACCCGTGGCAATGGGAAAGAATTGTGGATTGTTGAAGGAGATTCAACATTCATCGATCTGGAAGATATCTATCAATGCATTTCTGTATGGCTTTGTGATTTATCAGAACCCCAAACTTATAATTATTATGTTCAAGAAATAGTATACAATTTCAATGGTCATTGAAATATTGTGATATTTCAAAAAGGCATCGATTGCCTTGTGAATATATTATTATTAGGCCGCCACCACGGCCGATACCCATATTTAAAATATTTTTGGATATTTATTATGATAATTTTGGCACCTACAGGAATGTTTATCATTCCTTGGGGGGTGTATATATGCAATTTGGTAACATGCTACATTCAGATCGAAAGTTGCTTAAGAATCATTTTCTTATTGGTTTAGTTCCATTTGGTACTAGTTTTGATGATTTTATCAAACCAGTGCTTAATGATATACAGCGTTTAGAAGATGGTTTAATTATGAGTACGTTATATGGGGATGCTTGGATCGTGGTATTGGATGTATCACCTCAGACTTACCACAAAGTAATGATTTGGCAGGCATTAAGCGGCATAACGCTCTTCATGGTTGCCGAATATGCAATGCCTCAATCGACCAATTTACTGATCCAAACTATAATCACATTGAAAATGCACACTTTCAACAAAATACTAAAAAACAAGTTTTAGAAATTAATAATCAGCAAACAAAGATGGGTAAAGAACGGTTAACTACTAAATATGGGTTGGCAATGACTCCTGGATCTCTTAGTGTACTTAAATGAGATAACCATTTGCAAACTCTGCATGATATATACCATTCAATGGCTGGTAAAGCCTGTACCTTATTAGATGCTACATTCGATATCTTTAGTACAACTGGAAAAGAAGCTTTTTTAACGTGCTGGAAAAATATTGAAAAACCTGTTGGCTGGTGCCGAATGCCTAATCCATTACGGTATTGGCAAAGCTTTATGTTTTCTGATGTTTTGAGACTTGCCATTTTAATGCCCTTCATACTTAGACGTTTCTTAAAACCTAATTGCAAAATAAGAGATGTTTCAAAAAAATGGCAAGAGAATTCTAATAAAAAACCAGTTATACAATTGTGCAGTCTTTGGACTACTGAGGCTAAAGCACTTAAGCTTGCCTTTTCAACAACAATAACGAAAATTACTTGCGAAGAATTACAAGAATCGCTAAAAAAAGAACATGATATGCTTATTCAGGTCAGTGTTATATTTTTAAAATATAATTGTTTAATTTTATATTGATATTACATATGCGCATATGCAATAAATTGATTTAGAAGTAAAATTTCTAAATTAATTTTATTGCATAGTATATATGCATATATGCAATACATAAAACTTGCAATTATAAAATACGTATACGTATGTACGTATGTACGTACGTATATAGTAAAATTAATAAAACCTCCTTATTAATCATTAAGTTTATATTAAAAATAGTTATTTCCTGAACACTTTACAAATTTACCCAATCTTCATATTAATATACATTTGTTGCAACACATTCAAAATTTTGCAACATTAGTGAATACCGCTGTAGGAGTAAAGGAAATGTTCCATCGTACTTTCAAAGGAACAGTTCTACACACAAATTGCAAAATTATTGAGCTTGAACTTACACAGCAATATAATGTAAGACAAGCATTGAGACATATTGTTGACGGTTTGAAAGACCCCTGATTTGGTGAATTTAGCGATAATACCAATGCATTTTCGGATCTTATTACGGATTTAAAGCTTCATAAAATATTTTCAAATTGGTACGCCATAGAAAATCCGCCATTATATTCGCAGGCTGAAGAAAGTGAAAATAATGGTAAATAAAATTTAAACATTTTTATTGTACAAATCTCGAAATAATGGGTACTAGTATGGGCATTTTATTTTGAAAATTATATAGATATACAGGTTATCACCGTTAATATCAACCCCGTTAATACGTATCAACCTCCCGTTAATATCAACCTCTCATTAAAAAAAAACTATCCCGCTATTATTAGCCCTTGTACATATCTAATCAAAATGGGTTGATATTAACAAAGATAACCAGTATATCTTAAAAATAATATCGATATGCTTAGTAAAGTTTGGAACCGGTTTTAACATATACTTTTCAAATAGCATCCATGGTTTACCCAAATAATGCCTATTATTCGAGATTTATGTTATGATATTTCGTTTATCGTTATATTTTATATTATAAATCTGATTAATTCAAATTTAAAATATAACCGGTTCTAAACTCTAATTAAAATATAGACACCGATGCTATTTGTCACGATAGAAAGTTCATCAATATTGCACTTAAAGCGCATTGGAGTGCCAAAAAATTAACGAGTATGGGCCTTCAAATACACTGAGCGGAAGTTATCCACTTTATCAGGATCTTTTTAAATCATATACAAAGCATCTTGGATTAAAAGGCGCTTTGTTGAACAAGAAACTTAAGTTTTATAATTTTATTACGTATACTATTCTTAATCCTGAAGGTCCTATCAGACTAAAATTTCGTGTTGGTGACATCGTAGAATTAGCAAAAAATTCTGAAAGCATTGTTTATACTAAGATTAAGGCAATATTTATGCATCAAGCAAACAATGGTCAGAATTACGCTTTTTTTCAGTTTGGCAAATTTCAGGAAATGAACCTTTTGGATCCGGTATTAGAATGTCTATTCTATAAGGTTTGAGTATCTGAAACTGCATGTATTTTTCTGATTAATTATGTTATTTGCATCCCTCAAACGCATTTCTTACATGCTTGTACAAATACGTGCAATAATATGAATTGTCGCTATGTTTTAAACAAATTTTACTATAATACAGTATAGTATTATGAATACGTATAATATTTTAAAATTAAAGAATATTCAACAAAAAACCTACCTACCATATTCTATTTAATATATCTTATTTGTCAAATTCCAAATTTTTGAATGTGACTTGTGGCACAGCTAGGCCAAAATTCTATAGTGGCCCAGACAAATTTTACAATGAAGGCCTAATTTTGATTAAGATCATCAGCCTAAATTAGATTAATACAGGCCAACTGCCTAAATTACATCACAGCACTTTTGGACAATAAAGGTTACTTGACAACATAATTTACATGTAAGTTACACTGTAATTTACTGTAACTTACAATATATGTACTAAAGCCAGCTGAATCATGTGATAATTTCTACTGGCAT